GAACTACTATAACATTCTAGTTAGCGGAATATTTTGAACCGACTGCTACGGTGGCGCTGCCGCCACCGATGCGGCCGTAGTACTTCTTACAGCTTATTCGCCATACAAACATCGTGTTGTACGCAGAAGATATTTGCATGTGTGGCACGGTTTTGGGAGACACTGCTTATCGCAACCTGATTAAATTAAAAAGTCATCTAAGGTGTTTGCGTAAAAGGACCACATATTTAATTTGGCCTGTGTATCGTTTAAAAATATTTTTCGCCATTATTTTTCATTACTTTTCTGAGCGCTACTGATTAAGTTTGAATTCATGATTAATTCTAATTGCAATGTTATATATTTACCATGAATCGTAGAAAATGATTACTGGGAGCAGCTCTTTCTGTTCTGTGCTGATGATAAATTAAATACGAATGCATTTACGTTGTCAATTGGAGAAAAAATAAAAATAATAGCAAATGGAAGGTGTGTGCCCGGGTCAGATTTAACTAAAAAAAGTAATATTACTTACTATTTCTTTAATCAAAAGTGTTATAATAGTTTTATTTGGCAAAAATTAAAATTTTACATTCACATAATTGACAACCATATTTCCTGAAGTTTAAAATTAACAAAACGAATAGTTACGATAGGTACCAGTAAGTAGCGCGTCAACTGAAAGATGATTTTCTTGCTCAAAAAGAACTTTAAAATTAATAAAGAGCTAACTAAGCTTGAGAATTTGGTTTAATTAATGACAACAAAAAAAACCCTGTTCTTCGGGTTTGGTCAGTAATTTAACATCATTACATTTTTCTTGAGTTCAAACTTGTGAGCATAATGAAATAATAAATAATTTTTAACCCTTTTTCAATAATGAATGAAATTAATGAGGAAGTAAAAAAAACGAAAGCACTAAAAAAGCACCTCCACTAGATGGCGACTCTAGCAAAAGTTGATTTTTGCAGGAAACGAATGGACCAAAGTCAGTCATTTCCGTTCCTTTTAACTATAATTAATTAAAAATATTAAAAATTTGAAATTTGAAACGTTTGAAACTTAGATATCAATACAAATACGAAAAAGTACAAATAGAATATGAATTGCTTATTGATTTTTGAAAACTAATTTACTTTTAAACATGAAAGAAAACCGGAAGGGTTGTCATGAAAAAAATCAAGAACGTACCGTAGCGACATCTAGTTTGATTTCGGGAACTAATATATATTTTTTTAATACTTCCTCATTATGTGTAATGTTTCTAATTCGACGAATTTGAAAAAACTGACATTCATAAAGAGTATATTGGATTACTCAAATTTTCAAATTACGAAAAGTGAAAATTAAAAAATAAAAATTAATAATGTTGAAAATCAAAGACAGAAAGTTTGCATGCGGATACCCAGGACGAAAACAGTTTTACAGAAAGACACGTTGGCCCAATTTATAAAAATTTAATGATTGTTCGGATTCATACCGAATGGCCGTTGATTTTTTATATGAACAATGTTAAAATAATAGGTATTAACAGTACAGTAGTTCTTACTATTTCGATACAATAAAATTATTTTTCGGTAACTTATTATGATGGTGACCGACAAATATTAAATGATCATCATCCTGGCCAGGCCAGACCATGTGGTCAAACTCATTAGACGGTACTGTAACTATGCTGAAAATCGATAAGTTTTTTTCATTATAAGTATGAAATGCTGCATACCCTAGCGCAAACCTCTGTGCACGCCCCTGCAAATAATCCAAACTGACTCTTTAGGCATTTCATATACTCCTGCTATATAATATGAACGGAGAAGTAGTACAGCCTCGGTAATTTCCAAAAGCAATATTTTTCATATCTCTCAGGGGTAATAAATAAAGCAGGAAATACTAATATTTTCTCAGCGAATGCCGATATCGAGATATTCTCACTATATTGATGTCTCTGAAGATCAATCCAAATAAATGAGTTGGATAAGTCAACCGAACTATAAGTTGCAGAGCAATTAATTGTGTAATAATAAGTTGTAATTATGAATCGAATTCTAGCTTCCATATTGACATACGAAAGAAAAATATTGATTCCAACAGAGTCGTATATAATCAACATAATAAATATAGTTTAAGGGGAATAAATTTCCCGAATCAATCCAGTAAAAGAAACTCTTACTAAGAATGTTCTTAATATAAAAACTGTCGCCCACGTATGATGTCACTTTCCGTAGGTAAAACAATTTTCATAATTAGATTAGTATTTCGAAAGATTACTCCTTATAAACAAACAAACAAAGTCAGAAGCTGTACTTCTTTATAGTTAGATAGCTTTTTTAGAAAAATTAGGTCAAAATCACATAGTAACTAGACGAAACAAATCATAGACATACCTAGGTATCAAGAAACTTAGGTATTTATAAAAGAGAAGTAATTAAAAGGTCAGCCATAAAAAAATTTGGTTAGCCACAAAAATCAGTATTTTAATCGTTTGATCAGCATTTTAAGATTTTGTATGCAAGAAAAATAAAACAATTGGCAATCCTTGTTTCGCAAATAATTTTGATAATGATCAGTAATTTAATCATATACAGTCAGCTTAAAATAATAAGTGTATGTCAAATAAACAGTCTATCCCCAAAATAACTACTTGATCAGAAAGATTCAGGATTGGTCAGCAAGAAATATTTGTCCTGTTAGCAGTTCATTTGATCGGTTTGCGTATTTAAAGCATGGTTAGAAGAATAACTAATTGGTTTGCATTTTTATTGAAAAGTCTTCAATGTACGTTAAAAGTGGGCAGAGCAAGAGTAGTCGCATGATACTAGTAGCCAATCGCGTGCGTGTATTGTCATTCGGTGTCTATGCGGCGATTAGTAGCTGTCAAATTACAGTGATAACAACTTGTTTTATGTTAATTAGTATGAATTTTGATATTTTGCGAGTGTTATATGAGTACTGTAGGTAGCAGCCGGGACCGACGGCTTAACGTGCCCTCCGAAGCACGGAATCATCTTACTTTCGGACAATCAGGTGATTCAGGCCTGCAATGTCCTAACCAAACTGGGAAAAACTCACAAAGAAATATTTGAGAGTGTCCCCACCGGGAATCGAACCCAATACCTTCGGATCGAGAGCCTAACGCTCTAACCACTAGGACACGGAGGCAGTTAATTTAATTAATTAGTTTACTCTAAATACCCATTCATTATTTTTGTAAGGAATACGCCCATTTTGCGCCAGTCATTATTGCTATTTTTATATGCTTCACAAAATTAGATTAGTTGCTTCCCTCTAAGTGCTGTTCAAAATTGTATTTAATATGCGTCACTCATTGCAGCTTATATGATTATTATGCTAATAAAAAATAATTACAGCCGTCCAGAATGTAAAAAATTGTCGATTGATTTGATATTGTTTGCTAGCCATGGTCTGCTGACCAATCATATATTTCAACTGACAGAATACATTTTTCTGCTAGCAAAAATGTGAATACTATGCTAACCCGTTAAATAACACCCATTTATAAAACAGGTATATAACCTTTTTGGTAATGTGTATTTGACAGTCGCGTCCGTCCATTAGTTGTTAATATAAAAAAATAGTGATGTGAGTATCCGACGTAAGATTGGCAGCTTTTTATGTAGTAGATATTGAAAGAAAATCTACTCAAGATACATTTTATAATAACAAAAAGAAAAAATAGTAAACTAGTAGAGAATGCTTCAGGCAATACGTCCACGTCCACACTTAAACATGAATAGATGCATAAATAAACTTCGATTGAGTTTTAAATTACTATATACAATAGGCAATTTTGTCTGAAGATAAGGATAACATCAAATGTTGAGAAGATTATCAGGGAGCTCTTTATCCAGCGGTGGACATTTTCAGGACGCTGGTCCTGAAAATACGGGCGCAATTAGAATAGGTTACCTGATTACTGGGAATACCTGAGACACGTATAATCAATCAGTTTTGTTTTGTATTTTTATAAAAAAACAAATGGAATCAATACAATTTATACACTAAATGACGTGAATTCGAACACATGAGTGAATTCGTATTCGGGTTCGGATTTATATGGAATCGCTCCCCAGATCGTCAGTGGTATGGATCAATACGACTGACTATCTGACGAGAAAGTTGTATACTAGATACTTATTGGAATGAATTTGTAAACGACACTAAACTCAGTGTTATGTTTATTTATAATGTTTAGCGTTGGAATAAATTTACGCTGCAACTGCACTTAGTATAGACACTTAGCAAAGGTTAACATAGTACGAGTTTCTACGGAAGTAATATTTACTCTTAAAAGGTTTGCTTATTCTCTATTTATTATTAATCTGGACTGATACTAAAATTACAAATTTAGCGTAAATTTAATCTGACGCTAAACCTTGTTTATTAATAGCATTTAAAGAGTATCAATTCCAACGAGACAGATATTATAAATTATTGATGTTTACAGTTTTGCGGTAACATGTATATTTAGTACATATTCTTTGTATTAACTAAATTATTTTGAAATAATGAAGCAGCGTAGATTGTTTAAAATATTTTAACACTAACAAATTTGTTTTAGATAAATAAAGATAGATAGATAGAATATTCTTTATTGTACACATAAAGACAAAATACATATGACGAAAACAGGAGACATACAATTGGCGGCCTTATCACTAAAAGTGATCTCTTCCAGGCAACCTTGCAATGGAGTTAAATATAAAAGACCTAATTATGGGGTAGTGGATGGTGAACATATAAACAATTTATAAATATACATAATTGACAATTATTATTTACTTATAATTATAATTTAATAAATATTTATCTTATCGGAATATTGACGGTTAATCTGAAGTTTTGGGTCCATATTATAAATTTCATAATAAATTATTGAAAACCCTACGTCAAAAGGTAATAGCAATACTCGTCGATGGGGTCGAATTCAAAAGTCGAGTGTTTAAGTTTTTTTTTTTTTTGAGATATAATAATAATAAGAAGCAAATATTTCACCACCAGTTTCAGTACATGACGGCAAAGAACGAGTAGGATGAACGCATCAACTGCAACAATACAAAAATTAATGTTATAATAGAAAACGCACAAAAAGCACGTGGACATGAAATTTGTTTAATTTATTATGAAATATTGAAGCCAGTTATTGTCTAATAAATAATATACATTTCAGAATCAACATTAAACATCAGTACTATTTTGTATAAATTACGCTCAAAGATCGAAACCGCTCATTCAGTGAAAAAATAGTTCACAACGGGTTGTGGCAGTCGCAGAATAACCACATCGCCAAGTTCGTGTTTTGGCTCTAATGGAAACGCTCACGGCGCTACGTGGTAATCACAGAATAATGCCATAGCGAAATCCGTGTCGTGGCTGAAATGCTATTCGACCTCAACACGTTGTGGCAACGAAGAAACGCGACGACGCGTTCTGAGCATTAATTGATTTAACTAGTTGTTTTATTTTACATTAGCGGTTTGCTTCTGGCATAACTTATACTGATTGTTTATCAAACTTCTTTCTTTTTGACGCTGGGAAATGCATTACTGCATACCCCGGGTCGTCAGCGCGACTAACCTGGGTTATGTGAGGCTCCCCCCTGTGGACCCGCCCCGGGTTGGCTCATAGAGCAGGGGTATACCCACTTAAACCCAGCGATGTCCCTCGCATGGAAGGCGATTTAACATTAAAATTCTATAGTAATTTATAATAAAAAAAAATCCATACACCTATGAACTACAGTAATACCCCGACTTACGCTACCTCGACTTACGCGACTTCGGAGTTACGCGATTTAATTTTCTAGTCTATTCGTTTTTTGTTTGAACGCCGCGCAGTCAAGGTCAAGCGGCGGCGTTTGTTTCTGACTCCCCCCGCCCGCATTATTATTCGTTCAGCTTACAACAGGCACCTGACCTGAGATATTTACTAAGTACTATGCGCATCCAAACGAAGTAGAACCGATTCTTTTGCTTTAAACAAGAAAAGAAAAACTTTAACTTTGGAGTGTAAACTTAACATTATTAAAGACTATGATGCAAAAATAAAAATATGTGAATTAGCGAAAAAGTTTGATCTACCAGAATCGACAGTCAGCTCAATTACAAAAAGTAAAGAAAAAATCCTCGAAGCTGCGAAAAACGCTCAGTCTTTGAATTCAAGCATCATTCGTAAACGGCACGGTATTATCGCTGAGATGGAAACATTAAAATTATGGTGTGATAAAAGACGTTGTCGAACTTGGTAGACAAATAAATTTAGAAGTGGATAGTGATGACGTTCAAGAGCTGCTAGATTCACACAATGAGGAGCTTACAATTGATGAGCTCATAACAATGCGTGAACAAGAGGAAGACATTGATAATCATTCTTTGGATCCAGTTCAATTTGAAGATCAAATGACGGTTGGAAACTTGACAGAAGCCCTCAGTTCAATTGAAAATGGGTTAACAATTTTGGACAGCATAGACTCCAATGAAGAGCGCATTTTTGTTACAAAACATCGAATAAAAAAAATTACTTGCATGCTACGAGGAGATATTACGGGAGAAGCATTCATCATTGACTCGTCAGACGACTTTGTTAGATTTTATGAAACCTTCTACATCAAAATAACTTCGGATTGTGTTTATACATTTTATTAATATAGTTTGTCATAATATCTAGAATTAGATATAAATTTATTTCCTAAATTATTGTTTTATTTAGTCTCCGGTCCCAATTAAACATACTTTGTATGTCTTTATATGCAAAATTGTACCCCGACTTACGCGAATTCGACTTACGCGGATAGCGCTCGGTCCCACCTATCGCGTAAGTCCGGGGTATTACTGTATAATATATTTACTTCTGTTATTTACAGAACTTCGGTTAACCGTTCGAACAAAATCGTCGGTGCATCTTGTATCTTATTAATTTAATGTCCACAATTTTGCTAATTTTGTTTTCAAAATATTATTTTCCTAAGACAATTTCAAAACTGACCGTTACGAAGTTGGCGTGAGACAGCATAATAATGCCGAAAGCTGACATGTAGACGGGCACCTGGCTGCGCTGTATCGAGACCACCACCATGCAGCGGAGGGACTTGCTCACGGGCACCATATCCCAACCGCTGTGGAATATCGAGGTGCCCACCATCGAAGCCTGCCATACATTCACTTATATTAATATATAAAATATGGTGATATATGTTTATCCCGATTGCTGCTGCAATTCTGAAAGCAAAACTTCTGCAAAGAATAGGCTTCAAATAGATTACTAAAATGCATTATCTCCGGTCCTCATTGCTCGAAGAAGCACGTTAAGCCATTGGATCTATCTTTAATTGCTCTGTAGTCCCTGATACTAAACCAAACAAACAAATAAAGCAAAAACAATACGATATCGTTAAAATACCTGATAGATAACTCAGATATTCCTTGACCGTGAATGACTTTTTCAATATATATTTTGAACTGTCATAGCAAATCACGGGCATAGCTAACTAAATACATAATTTAATACATAATGATAGTTCTTTACTTGATGCGATAAATAGCCGCCAACAATGAAGTATGATCCAGTCAGCGTTGACACGCATAAGGTGTAAGTCATAAGAGCTATAAGGAATGTCAGATTTCTCTCATTCACCTGTAACAAGTTAATAACCAACGCTTCGATTAATTAAGCAAACTTAAAGATAGGAACATAACCAAAGAAAATATATTCACTACTTAACAAGGCATCATAAAGTGCTTCAGGTGCGTGGGCGGCGCGATATCAGTACGCTAGAAGTTATAGTAGGTAGTTTAACATGGTCTTATTTCTCTCGATAACTAATTGCTGGATCAGTATTTGAGTTCGCCTCTCTATCTGCTCATTTTGATTTTGACAACCTCGACATACAAGACAGTATCATGTCACAGTCATAGCACTAAGATCACAGGAGTATAACTATCGCAACAAAACAGTTTTTTAATGAGTCAAATAATTTTTTAACACTTTTAAAGGTTTTTTTATGATGTATAATGTTATATCACTAGTTATGCATTGTGTTGAATATATAAAGTATACTAACCACCAGTCTGACGAGGGTCATGACCATTAGAGCAGTTGTCTCTATCACTTGGATGCTATAAATGTTCCCGATGGCGTACTGCATATTCTGGGCACACCTGTTATTGAATTTAAAAGAACTCATTCATATGCATCCAGTTTCTGGATGATTGAAAGTTATGAGACGAGCTAATCTAACTTCAACTGTAGTAAAATCCAGTCATTTAAATCTACTATTAATTATTTACTTTTACTGTTAAATATTTACTTTAAGGTGACTGTACAATCAAAGCAGATAAAAGTGATTGGACTTCGGGCGTTCCAGCCATTTTAATATGTGATTTCTTATATATGTGACATGGTGAGTTTTTTCATTCATTTTTCTTATCATCCATCGTACGTAAATAAATGTTGGATGATTCAACAGAACTTTTGATGAGTTTATTTAAATCAAGATTATTTTGACTTTGACTTACACTCGTTAGGTATCATATAATGCTGACCATAATAAATCAATTCTTCACTTACCATAATGCATCTGCATGTAACTTGATGCCGACCTCAAAATTATTTTCAAACTCTTTGCTCAACGCCAACTGGTTTTTATTTCCAATATTATCCTGCAACTTATTCCTCAAATTTTCAAAGTACCTTCTTACTAGTTTAAACTTGTAGCCGGTGAATGTTAATGAGAAAGTTGATAGAGCGTTAACAAGGAGCATATAGGTGACGATACACCACCAGTGAAGCTCGACCATGACACGGAGAATGTTGACGAAGACTCCTGAGTCTGATCTGGTTGGATATAATACCACTTCGGTCCGAATTGGAATTCCTATAGAAAATAACGAAACTAGTATAATTTTTCATAACATCGTCACCACATATAATATCAAACTTTCAAATAATAAAGAAAGAAAAACAAAACACAAGTGTGAACAATCGGAAAAGTTATAGGGTCTTTTCTGAAAATGGTGTTTCTTCCATCTGCGGGGATCAATTGTAAGTTGGAATTTCGCCACCTTCTTTGAGTTTCCTCATATGTGTGTGCACAAGTTTCCTCATGTATGGATAGCATAATATTTATAATGAATACTACGATATCTTACCTTCCTTAATATGAGTCCATATTCCATCGATAGTCGCAAACAAGAGAGTTCCAAAGGTAGAAACAACCATACTGGAGACATAGATGAAAGCTGATTTCATACTCGCTCTGTCTATCTCAACAGAAGAATAAATAGATCTGGTACCCTCCAGCATTCTCTCCAACAAAACACGAACCCGCTCTTTTTGGAATATCAGAATTATGTACTTAAGGCAGAAAGACGGGTGTGCAAAAGAGAACTGAATTAGATCATTTCTTTCTTTGACTAACAAGTCTGACCTGAAGTTGGCCAAAACTCCGTTAATGGTGGTGAGAATAACATAGGCATTTATAATAAATGCCCAAATACCGTATAGGACTTTGTGAGTTTTACTGCGCTTTGTTTTCTCATACCAACAGTCACCCATTCCCATAAAATAGATGAATTTGCACATTAATTTCAAGTAATATTTTTGAGGGTGCGTTTCTTTCAATGATTTCGACGCGTTCATCGTGTCTTGATTCACAACAGATATTGCTATAAAAAGCAGAACAGTGATTTTAAGTGGTGGATCCATATATACAATATATACATTAAAGCAATGTTCTTATGTCTATTATTATTATTTATTTTTAAATATATTATATTTTTAAATACAACATAGTCATGTATAAAATCAACAGCCAATGCATAATAAAGGCACATTAAATGAAATTTTAAATCAACTGCTTTTTTGAATTTCACGGAAACAAGCAAAATTAATAAAATAATAGCGTTAACATTCGCCATTGAAGTTACATTAATAAATTTATCAACAAGTTCCATTGGCGATAAATTTCCAATGCGATGAAATCCGTTGCCGCAAAACTAGCTATGAATTTAATTGCTGTCGATTTCAAATAAAATGTTATCGTAATTGAAGCTGTCCATAACTTTTTTAACTTCACTATCAATTAAATTATTCCGAAGCTACAAACCCACCCTCAGTTAATTGAACTATCCAATCGCTTCGATAATTCGCTGGATTAGGTAGGAATTGAATATTGAAACAAGCCAGTTTCAGACGGTTTCATAATATTGAGTTTTCCCAAGGAAGATGTCATGAAGTGATAAATGTCAAATATTTTTATATATCTATCATTATTATTTGTCTTACTTTAATGATTTTAAACTTATATGCCTTAAGCTGGACTTTAGTAAATATTCTTCACTCGATAGTAATAATATCAATTTATAAAGAAAAAAAAATTGATTATTTGTTTGAATTGAATAGATTCCAAAAATACAGGACCGATTTAAAAAATTATTTCAGTTAATTGAAGCTACATCATAAGCGGTATAAGCTGTAATTCACATGGATAAAGTCGCGGAAAACAGCCAGTAATACCTTAATAAATAAATACCATTGGAACTGTCCATTGCAAATGTTCGAAGCCTATTAACAGTTATAAGTGCAGGAATGTTAGAATAGTAACACATTATATATTTATCATGAAACTGATTTCTGACGAGACTGTAATTGTACTGAAATACGGAGTTAAAGTTACGACCAATTAGTCTTTGAATTATTGAGGCGTTAATTTTTATATTAGGTGTATTAGTTTGATCAAAGAACGAGTGAGCACAATTGTAAAATATTGCTGTTTACCATATTGTCAAGTAGATAATTACTAATCGCTATATTTGTCTTGCTTAATATTCACAAAGAACTTGCGTAACAAATCCAAATACTTTAAGCGTATACTATCGCCTACTACTAAAATAGATCTGCAAAGTTTCTATTAGTTTTAGATGTATGTATGACAAAAATTAGCCAGAATACAACTTTAGCGTTATTTCAGAAATAAAGTCACATTACATATTTACTCATACATAAGGCTTCTCAATTTTATAAATAACTATACCTAACATTTAACTGTAAGAAGTGTCTCATGCTACAAGGTACTATAATAGACCCTGTTTTTTATCTGTGTGTAACATTAAATTCAGCTTTTGTACATTGAAAAAATAAAAACTCACAACACCCACATTAGACATAGCTTTCACCACCATATGAATTGATGTTTATATTATAGCAATATTTATGTAGAATTTCACATTTTCTATGGTACTATAACTAAAAGTGGATGAGTAAGAACGCCTATTTCAAATCAGTAGGCAAAGTGGTATCGCTACATATTTATAATACGAAAACTATTTCCAGGAACAGTTGGGTACAGCACACTACTCTCGGAGTTACCACTCGTTCCCATAATTCGGGTACAGTCCCGATTTTGATGAAGTCATCCTGATAACCGTTATCCTAATTTTCGATAGTGGCTATCACTGAATTCTAGTATATGTGAATTTGGTCTAAAAATATGCCTTAAAAAAATATAATTAACATGAAGACTTCTGCATAATCTATACTACTGAATAATCAGTGCAGTACCAAAAAATGAGTCACTAAGCTATTGATTATTTCCAAAAGTTTGTTTAGAGTCAATAATGGAATATTACGCTATGGTCTACGTACATACATGGTAGCACTAGCACATGTAATAACACAAACTTTTTCGATCATTTGGTCTTTTATAAATGAACGATTCCCTTAATTTCTTCCTTAAAAATATAGAAATGACGTATTATTGGATAAAATTACACTCTTTTAAGTGATCGGTCAACTTTCTAAAAACTCTTTTTATGTTATTTAATCATTACGAACGCTTATTCCCATAAAAATACTATTTTATGTAAATAGACGACATTATGTACCCAAATCTATGTATTAAATTTGACTAAATTGCACTAAAATGCACTAAAATCTTTTCTCTAAAAGATGGATACCCTGGCTCCGCTACAGAAGTCGCAGCCCGAATTTTAATGTTTCAGGAACTTTTTAACATGAGGAATCACAACTAGTTTCTAGTTACACACCGTCGACATCTAGACCGCAACAAACTTCCCGACAGTTGTAAATAATGAAAGATTACTCGCAACTTGGCACAAAGTATAGACTGTATACTTAAATAGACATCTACAAAGAAATGACTGAATTATATGTTATTGCCTGGATAATGTTAGTTTGGAAAAAAAGTCTTTTCGCATACAGTATGAATAAACTTGTAATGAAATATTTCTGACAATACCATTTGTATATAGCTGGTTTCAGTATCATTAAAAGTTAACATTTTAAAAAAGATAACTCCAAATTCAATTTAGTAAAATATGTACCTTTTTTTTTGTTTGTCAAAATAATTGAATCAAATAAATAAATTCGATACATTTAATATTTTATTGCAAAAAAAGGTAAAAATGCAACGCAAGGCGCGACGTGACTTTTATGGACGTAGTGTAGTTTCTGTAGCACAAATTTGGTTTAAGCGTTTTCAGTCCAGAAATTTTGATGTCAAATATGCACGTCGCTCCGGTCGCCCTGTTACAGATAAAATGGATGCCATTTTTAAAAAAGTGGACCGAGATCGACATATCAGTAGTTATGACGTAACTAAAGAACTGAGGATTAACCACAAAACAGTTTTGGTGCATATTTAATATATAGATAACAACTGCTGATATTAAACAAGAAGTTGAGAGAAAGCGGCCACAATTCATAATAGAAGGGTGTGGTTTTTCATCACGTTAATGCTAGACCCCACAGATCTTTTGCTACTTAGCAAAAAATAAGAGATTTATTCATCCACCGTATAGTCGTGACTTCAGATTTCCACCTGTTTCGGTCTCTTAGAAGTCTTTAAGTAATGTCAGGTTAACATCACGCGAAAACAACCAAAAACGACTTGTTGTTTTTTTACCAAAAACGCTGTTTTAATAAGAAATCCCAAAATTTCTACCTACCTACAAAATGGTAAAAAGTTGTCGAACAACATGGTATCTACCTAACGAACACATGCATAAAATTTAACAAAAATGTATTAAATACTCGCCACATTTTTGTCCTATCAGTCTGCTATAATACATATTGGTAGAGATTAAAACAAATAAAGATCTTCTGGTAACAGACATATTGAATTCGTACTTGCCAAACATTCATTACAGGCAGACTGCGCTCGCGCGTCATAAACAAATGGGTTACTATAAAGCCGCAAACTGGACGCCCGCGGGCGCAGTGGCGGTGTCGTCGGTGGTAAGAGGCCTTAAGGTGCATTTCCACTGAAACTTTTGTATTTAATCTCTCCAAATATTCACGAACTTTTGTTTCCTTTGTACACTGAATTAAATCAAATCGTTAATAATTTGACGTCCAAACAATACTAAATTAATTTAGTTTTCGCATAGAGTTTTATGTTCGGTATACGGTAACCTCCACGGTGTATGAGTGAGCAGGTTACCTAATCCGTTGTATTTTAAACTTTTTGGTTATTAAAAAAAAAGCTATAAATGAAATCGTACTGTCATCTTCGGAATCTGTAGGTCACCATGCGCCATATTAGTTGAAACTTCTATACTGCCCATCACTTTTAACTTTGGAATTAATTTAAAAAAAATATTTTCTTTTTACAATTTGCTAGACCCGCGAATCCGGATGCTATGCAAATGAAGGAAAGCGCGAATTTAAATGTCTATGAATTTTAAAAACTACTCGGGAAGGAATTATTTATTATTATGTCTGTCTCTTCCAGGTAAGACGACTATGTAAAAATTCAAAATTAAATTGGGCTATAACTAAAGCAAACTTTAAATGTGAAGAGGTAAAGTTTCTAAAATTGTTTGTTTGTTAATAGGGGGTAATCTTCGGATATACTGATCTGATTGTGGCGACTGATACGTAGAGATATCTTACACATTGCACTAACACCTCCACAATAATCAATAGTAAGAAGCCACAACACTCGATAGCAAGACGAACAGCGAGGACTTTCAATACACAATAATGAGATGGCACTGTATACCTTTAATTATGTTGTGGCACTGGCACTGTTTACCGTAGTTTTGCGAACCGATGGCGTAGTTTTCGACTTTCACAAGTGCTCTGTAAAAGCCTTAACTGAATAAATAAATTTTGATTTGATTTGATTACGATACTACAAGTGATCTAGAACAAAGGAAACCTACATCGCCCACGATAAGTTTCATTACCAATTCGCATAAATAGAACGTCCAACCTACATCGGTTGGACCGCGGTCCCCGGGCTAACAACACCTAGCTCGGAGGCAGATAATTATCCTTTAGGCTCCCTTGCCAGTTGTCTATATCATCCAGCAAGACCACACCTTCACCATAACTGTTCCTACATGATCATGGAAATTCTTTCACCTATTACACATTTCCGCGACATCGCCTACTTAGTTTATAGCACCACCTGCGTATGATGTAGCTTTCTATAAGTGAAAGAATTATACATAGCGAACAAACAAACAATCTAATCAATCAAGATTATTATTGATTCATCGACCAACTAGACTAGCTTTATAGAAATAGCCCGCATACTAAGGCCTAATTGGATAATTTTAAAATCGATTACAATATTCACAATGCCTTTCAATTTTACATTTGAAAGAACTTCACGCTACAATTATTTAAAAGAGAATAGAATATAATTCCTTTTATTTGACAACACACATCACGAACACAATATTACATGTTTGTCACAAAAAAAAAATATTTGACATGTGATAGCGATTGTGATCCTGACGTTTTATTGTATGAACTACTCGTATATAGACAATTTAACGTCAGGCAAGCGTTAAGTCGTAAATATAACTATAAGTTATCAAATTTTCATTATGTCTCTTAATCATTCAAATCATGATTTGTTCCAAAACCGATTGGGACTTCGCTGTTTCTTTGATGGGGCTGGCGATAGATCTTAAAATTAGACAATGGGGCACTTTCTTACATTTTGCATTTGACAAATCCATGTAATCCTTTGTAACCATCAATAATACTATCTTAAGATAGCAGGAACACAGCGGATGAAGCTCAACT